TTATAAGTCCGATGTCTTACCTATTACCCATTTACTCAAATACATTACTAAACATTATGTTTAAATTTTATTTTTGTTTAAGATTAAATCAAAAACTTATATATATATATATATTAAACACTACCAGTGCAATATAAATATATAATCTCTCTCTGCTTATACATAAAATTTAAAATGACGTATCGGTACTAAGCAACAAATTGACGAATAAACAAATACCTAATAAGTAATAATGAAAAATTAACATAAGTGTACCACAAACACTGTTTGACATAGGGTACAGCTATAACTGATCCCGACGATTGCAGTGTTTGTACTCATTTTCGAGCTTCACTAAATTTTTATGATATAGAAGCGATTGTAACTAAAAGATTAGTTTTAATTTAGACGTTAAAGCTACTATACATACCGACTGGCCATAAAAAAATAATAATTTTTAAATATTTAATAATTATAAACAAAAAATAACTTCTAGTCTCCTTTTATTTATTCGATATATTATAGTTCATTATTATGATTCAGGGCCATTAATTTATATACCAAGTGAATTATGGAATAAATTAATTCAACTAACTAATTTTTATTAGGTATTCTAATATCCACTAATATTCTCAATAAAGAAATTATATATTATAGCCACAATTTTGTACCTTTTTTCTAAGTTTCAACGGTGTTATCTTTCCACATCGACTATATGGTCGATTCAGTTGTTTCCAGTCCAGCAGCTCCGGTTGTTTTGTCGCCGGCTCCCAAAAAGTTACCGTCCAATAAGAAGGCGACCGCCGCTGCCAAAGGTGCCGCTTCGAAGAAGCCTTCAGCCGCACATCCACCGATATCTGTTATGGTTACATCAGCAATCAAAGAATTGAAAGGGCGAATAAGTTCGTCTTTGCCTGCTATCAAAATGTAATTGGCCGCCAATTATCAAGTCGATCCAACCAAGTTAGCACCTTTCATCAGGAAATTCTTGACCGCTGCCGTGACGAGCGGTGCAATACTCCAAACTAAAGGTCATTATAAGCTGGCTGGAGCCGAAGCTAAACTGAAAATTGCCTTCGTGGTAAAAAAAATGAAACCCACCTCCGCCTAAAAAGAAGAAGCCAGCTTCGAAAACAACTAAAACTGCCTCCGGTGAACCAGCCACCAAAAAGACGAAAAGACTCCAACCAAGGCTCCTAAGGCCGTTAAACCCAAAAAGGTCCCGGCTAAATCTACTGTTAAAATCCAAAACTTTGAAGAAAACCGCAGTTAAGAAGGCCACCGTTTTAAAGAAAAATTAGAATTTTGTAACAGTGTATACTCCTTAAGAAGGCCCTTTTCAGGGCTACCAAATACTTACTCATACTACATAAATTTATGTATACCATATTCTTTTTAGATTTACGTCTGACAGTTCTCATAATTATTTATAATGTTTACAAAATTATGATACTAAACTTTATTCTGTTTTCTGTATTCCTGTATAATTTTTTTTATTTTTTTCAGTTACTGTTCAGCTACTGTTATAGATAACAATAACTTTTTGATATATTCAGTACAAACTTAATGTGCATGGGGAGCGATGAGTTAAGATTATCTTTAGTCTTTGATTGTAGATGCACGGCATTGTCATATATTTTATTAATTATAATATTATCAGGACCTTTGATATTTTCATTAGTCTTATCATTTTTATTATTCTCAACATACATTTCTCACTAATTTCTTATCAAGTTTTATTTAATTAACAATAAAATTTAAATTTTGTATTTATAAACTTAAATAGTTAAAGACTGTTGGAAGTGATGTTAACTGATTACAGATTGTCATACAATTGTTAGTTCATATAACATGGAGTTCAATAAAAGTTATAATATTAGCCTATTATCTGATTAGATATCAAAATCAGGAATTATAATTTTATGTATAATATTATGTTTTTGTATTCAAAACATAAATTTACCTCAGTTCCTATTAATTTTTCTTATTAATTTTAAACATAATTCTTAATACCCTAACTATTATAAAATTTAATACACAGCATAATGTCTCACAAATCGCAAATCGAAAATAAAAATTATAGGACTTCATATTATGTACTACCAAACTGCACTAAGCATCATGTCATGTTTTAAGATGTTCTGACAAACTTGAAAAATATTTATGATTTTCGTCAAAATTTGATATTACCATTTTTATAAAAAATAAAGTACTACACTAAACCCGATTTCTTCTTTTTTTTTCCCTGAAAATACAACTTATAATGAACCTCCTGTTTTATTTTCGAGCACTTCTATTTACTCGAACAATTTTATCCTACCAAATACAAATTATGTAAAACAACTCGCAAAATTAAAATATCCATCAATACCTAAGAAAGCATTAGAAAACATAAATTTAAAAAATTTAAAATCATGAAATCGTTACGCCGTAAAATTTGTCAATTTTTATTAAGTTTTCCAATATTTTTTCCAAATTATTATGAAAGTCATATTAATTATGAATATATACATAATGTTCACCAATTAACTATTGTAGGTAAAATGAAACTTAAAAACTCTAAATACAATTAGTTCGTTGGGTATCTAATTCATGTGAAATGTTGATTTCATTTTGCACATCAATACATTCTTCCAGATGAAAATAGAATTGTAGATACCCGATAATTGTAAAAGTTTATGTGGCTTTATATCTTAGTTCAGGCAAGTATCGATGGCACACGTTAATATTATGGAAAAATTTGGAACGGGCGCAGTGCTGCACTCTCTATTAGTATAATTATTTATGATAATATGAAATCTAATACCAGAAACATAAACTTGTAATTTATTCATATACAATATTTTTATTCTAAGACAATGTCATAGACATTAATTAGCCACCTGCTTGTCTATGAGCAAGATATATTTATATCTATGGCTACAGTAAAATTGTAGGTAGATATCGTGGGTAATGTTTATAAGGCTATGTACCTGATATATCTAAGTATATATTATGTAACCCTACTCCGTAGTAGAGAAACCAATGTTCAGCGGCTTACAGATGATATGAGATAACAATTTTATCATCTTTATAAGTATTTTCTACCGAAATACGGTTCTAACAATATATGTTCGTACTATATACGCGTTCCCTGTAGGTAATAGATAATTGTATGGTTATTGCACTGAACGTGTTCGTATTGAACATAAAACCAAATTTTTTGAGAAATCCCCAAAATGTAAATTTTTTAGAAGTCTCTTCCCAAATCCCCAACGCTTAAAAAACTCACCAGATTTTGGGGATAATCCCCAAGTTTGGCAACACTGAGTCCAAACCTAACCCCTACAGATATTAGAGATACGTATTATTTATGTTAAATTTAATAGACGTGTTATCATATAATAACGAATTTGGTTAATAAAACTTGGTTTATTTATAAATGTGGTAACATTGTAAAATAATCACAAAGATATTCTAAATAATTTGATACCAAAACAGAAAATAAATATCTATTGTGAATTCTACAAAGATAATTTACTATCAATGGAAACATCGCCTCACCTATAATCGTTATAGGAATGACATATCCATTTTTTCATTGTCTATGGAATTCTAGTAAAGTACAAAAGAAATGAGTCGGGATCGTTAATGCGGATTTGCATTTTGCATTGTTTCATATTTACGAAGAATGACCAGTGGATATCATTAACAGATTCTCTTACACAAAAAGCCGGAGGTTAGACTTAGTATTATAAATTAATAACAACCATTAAAATATCAATGGTTAGCAAGTAAAAGGGCGAAAGCGTCAATTTTTTAAATAGACTTTATCGCAAATAGTCGTAAATGGTGAGATTTTACATAGATTAATCTAACCTAAACATCGATATCACTTATTTACTATTAACGAGCGATTTTTTAACATGTGGTCGCAAACATCATAGAATTGAAGGGATTGAAAAAAGTTGGTGTAAACGGCATTCAGTGAAACATGATACAACAGAAGCGTCATTGTTGTATGTCACATTAGTTTATTATATTCACAAAATAATGATTTTGAAAATGTATCTTAATTTTATTATATAATACTGTTTTTGAAACGCTTACTACAAATAATCATTAATTAATCAATAATTGTAAATTCTGAAAGCGATTTTATTCAATAGAACATCTTTGAGTGTAAGTTTTAACCACGCCGTTAACCATTCCTATGTTAAAAACTACTGTTAAATTTTGAGTGTGCTTCCTCAGTCAAACAATTATTCTAGCTTCCCTGGGTTTAATATCAATGTCACTGCGCTGTTATTTTTAAAAAAAAATGCAATATTATTATTAATAGAGTAATGAAAACTTTGGTTTGTTTTGTTTCTTTAGGTGATAACGAACAAATTATTTGAAGACCATCATCAACAATTTACAATGTTTACACTTGCAAAGATGGCTTATTTCGAACTCCCCGAATCAGACTTGGAGTATTATAAACGTACATTTGAAAAAAGAAGCAATTTGGAAATGGCTTCCTGTTGCGATTTATTACACAAAGTTTTAACAAACAAACATTGTAAATTTAATTTAACTATGGTCCGTGACTGTATAATAAAAATAGGACATTTAGACTGCATAGCTGTTAGTAACAGATATATGAAGGAAAAATTTCCGGACATTAATTTCAAAGAAGCCAACATTAACGATGATGAGCATTTTAATAATGGATTTTTTTTGTTTTTTTAATTGTATTCTATATTTGCCATAGTAAGGACCATAGTTAATTTAGTTCAAAAATGTTTTACTCGTATTATATTATGATATTATCCATTTGGAAAATCTCTAGCTAGAAGAAAATTTTAAATAATTTATATTATGCATGTATCAATTTTAAAACATATTACAAAAAAAATATAAGTAATAAATATAAATTATAGTACTTCAATCTACATGAACAAAGAATTTTTTTTTTTCTACAATAGGTATTTAGAAATCAATAATATTTAACATGTTTAAAATATGACTGGGAATTAAAACGTTTTACAATAGTTTGTTTTAATCCACTCAAATTTGTAATAAAACTAGTAATTTTAAAACAATTTACTGTACATGAAAGTTAGTAGGTATGTAGGTACCTAATTATTGTAAAAGGTTATAAATTATAATGTTTATACATTTGAATATTTAACTACAGCTGCATTATTTAAAAGAAAATACCGTTATGACAAACCTACCAAATCAACTATTTTTTTTTGACACATATGACACGTATAGAATTCTAAAAACTCCTTTTAGATTCTGAGGGAAGAGAAAAATATATTATACAGTTTTATACAATGTACAAAATTTCTTCTAGAAAATTTGCTCTAATTAATAAAAAATGACAAGGGACCTTTTTTTTGTATTTTGGATCTAGAAATCGTTTTTAATTTTCTAAATAATTTTCATAATAATTGGAATTCCTAAAACTGATCAAATTGAAAAGTGTTTTATGATCATTTTTTGTTTTCATTAGTGACTATAATAAATAAATATTAGTATTTTTCATTTCGATGACTATTTAAAAACGATAAGTTGATTTGCCTCTGCTCAAATTTTGTTTTACTACAAAGTATAACTTTTAATAAAACTCATGTTAAATTCTAAAGCATTTCTGTTTGGTCTAACAATATTATCCACAGAGTATCTACTGAATAAAAATAATATACAAAACTTGCAAAATTAGAAAGTCTATAAATTGCTCAAAAATGTTATCACATCAAGAAAAGGCAAATATAAGTTTTCTGTTAAAATTTCAAGTATCTACAAATATTTTTAACTGAATTGCAACAAATATTATTATATTATTAACAACATATTATTTATTTTAAATTTTATTTGGTATATAGGTAATCTGTGGATAAAATTGTTAAACATGTTAAACAAAACTTTGACTAAATAGAAATGCTTGAAAATTGAACAGTTAATTATAAGTCGTACTTTGTGGCCAAACATAAAAAAAATGAGTTTAAAGAAGTAATTTTTTTTATAAGAATTTAATGAAAATTTCTTTAGTAAAAAATTATGTGGAACAAATCTAGTTACTGATCCATAAAAATTGTTTCAGTAGATTTTTATTTGACTATACTAATACAAATTTATTGTTAAAAAGGTATTATTATTAACCAAGCCAGCCTCAAAATCATTTTTCATTAGCAATGATTAATCTTTGCTTACAGATGTATATTAAATTTCTGTATGTAATTTAGTTCAAAATATTCGTAGACTTGATGTTTTAAAAAAAAACATATATTTTATTTCAATAGATGTGGTTAAATTTTAGAAACAATAAGAAATTGTTGAGCTATTTAGAGACCTCTTAAAATGTTGAGTTCATTGTGTAAATTGTATTTGATATTTGCTCCATGGATGAAATTATTTGACCAAACAGAAATTATTGGAAATTAAACAACATTGCAATTAAATATTAAAGTTTATTATTTATAGTATTGATACCAACATTAAAGAAATATTCAAATATAGGTAGTTATAATATTGTGTCATAGATGATTATTGATGTATTCAGCATAATTCAACACATAATAACTAAAGAAATTAATATTACAATGATATGAGTTAACTCATATAATCATATACATATACTAACAGAGCTTTCTGGTGAACAAAGTTTCTAAAAAATAATAATTTTTTTTTTTCTAACAAATTCTTATACAATTATTGAAACATGACTGCAGTTACTAAATATACAGGTTTCTTATTACGTATATAATACATAATATTAATATATGCAAGATGTGAGTATGTTTATTCTAGTCTGTTAAAATAATACTATATATTTGATTCTAATTGTATATTATATAATTCCTTTGTAAATGATAATAGGAAGTACTAAATCCAAATCGACTCATAAACTAATAAATCTTAGTCATTGCTAAATAAACAAAAAATATGATAATAAATAGTACAATGCAAACTTTGTACATAATTACATACAATTTGAAAAAGAATATATTTTAGACATCCACAGAGAAATTGTATGCAAGAATAAAATCTGGAGCAGAAATAGGATGGAATTATTCTAATATTTACAGGTAAATTGTTCAATATACTAACACAAAACATGTTTCTTGATTTAGTGAATAGTGTTTAATATCTAAAAGAGTTGACATAAAACCAATGGTTTATAATGATTGATTTCTCAGATCAATATCATTAAATACCTTTAGATATAATATATACAGAAGGAGTACACAATTATTTCAAACCATAGAAGAAGCATTATGATTATAACTTAAGCTGTAGATATTAATTTTTTATCATTAAAGTTCACTATAAAATTAATAAGTCATACTGAGATAAGATACAGGATTATAGGTGTAAGAAATCATGAGTATATTGAATATTTGTAAGTATAAAACATATTATATTACTGAGAACTGATAGTTAACCTTACAGATTGGTAAAATGGCCATATCTATATTGAACTATCTAAGATATATGAATATTATCAATGCTGATTAAAGCTTTAGTTTCTATAAGAACATGGCTTCTTTTTTCAAGTTATGTCAACTATGAGCATTTTTTATTCAGGTCTAAATTTTACTAATTATGAATCTGTTCAACAAGTCACTAAAGAATAGTTGAAGTTATTTACAGAAATTATTGGAAATTTAACAATATTACATGTTTGTCAATAAAATTTCTAAGGAAAATTTAAGGTTTTAAAAAAAACCTTATATTGTATTTTCTAGAATCTTTAGAAAATAAGTAGAAGAGAATAGCTACTTTTTACAAAACTAAAAACACTTAAATGATGTTTCTAAATGTATGCAGATAAAGTTCTATCTGGTGATAGATAAAATCCATAGTTATACATATCATTTAACACTGATGTGCACTTTGCAAACTAAGTAAATCTCAAATATTAATCAATATGTGTAGAATAAACTTGGCCCACCAAGAGAAAGCTCAAACCATTGTTACTATTGTTGTAGACATAAGATATAAGATAAGATACATTACTTCCACATTCAATATATATATATTTTATTTAACTATAATATGAAAAATATAATAATAAAATACCTAATAAAGTAAAAACAACATTATTAAATGGTTAATACACGTAAATAAATACATAATTATATAATATATAATTAATTAATTAATTCGTCGCCTGAAGTATTACAAAATATATTTATTTATTTATATATTTACAAATATATTATTGAAAAAGCAATATTATTAACCGAGATCCGCTCAGAATCGGTTTTCATCAGTTATGATTAATCGTTGTATACATATGTAGGTACATTTAATTCCCCTCAACATCTTATATTCCCAGCTCTAATTCCTAAATCTACAACAGTAGTCCACCCGTGGTACGAATTACGACAATCTATTTGGTGTTTTATTTTCTTATTATTTGCAAAATGTTATTTAAATTACCATTATGTACACTACAAATTCTGCAACTATGTAAGGACGATGACCAGGCGGTCGACGCGTTTTCGTCCTGCAATGTCATGCATCTGATTGACTGACCGGTTTTTAACGTCTATATACAGTAGCGTACATAGAATATTAGTTTAGTTAGGGTGTTAACTTTGATTTATCATGGACTCGTGAGGGGGATTCACCTCTATACCCCTCATTTTATTGCTGAACTAGTAAATAATAAAGATTTTTCAAATGCTTAGTCTCCTTAACAGGTATTTTTTATTCAGGTCTAGATCTTACTAATCATAAATCTGTTCAACAAGTCACTAAAGAATGGTTGAAGTTTCAAAATATGAGGTCTCATCCCCAAAAAAGGAATGGATGATTGATGGGATGATACTAAAATATTTCACAATATTTTTTAAAATAACAATTACAAAATTAAAACTTTTGGCAAATCTCTTTACACTGTTTGAATATGAAATCATTTCTGACAGCGTTTCTTGAATATTTGTCTGAAGTTCTGCTAAAAAAAAAAAAAAAATAAAAATAAAATATTTTTTATACTTCTAACAAGTATTATTACTTGTGATAACTTTATACAAAAGTATAACATAGAAGTTAATTAGGTATAGTTTTGTGTGAACATTTAAATCAGATATAATAGTATTTATCAAAGAAAAACTATGAAATATGCACAGCTACAAAAAGTTTTTGTACAATTAGAGGTGCAAATAAAATATATAAATAAAGTTATTACAAATATGTTAGTAAGCAAGGCAACTAATAACATCTAAACGAAATTAAATGACAATAAAAATTAAATTGTTTAATGAAATTTCCAGGATGGGGGGGGGGTAGATTAGTTAGATATAAAATTATAATTAAAACATTATATTTTATTAGATTATATTAATGTTAAAAAATAAAATAAACTTGTAATGAAAATCATAGAATTAATTGCTAATTAATCATAGGTCTTAACAATATAATTAATTTAAACTATATATGCAAAAGAATTTTAGTTCAAATTATTTAGTCATAATAAAATTTAGATATTTAGAAATCATATTTTTGTTTAAAATGTGGGATTTAAAAAACAATATTAAGTGGAGCTCCATCAATAGTATTGTTTTTTCAACAATGTACATTTTCAATACAACAACAATTGTTTAAAAAAAATTGAAAGTTTTTAAATAATATAATAATAACAAAAAATAAAAAAAATCTACTTATGATAACCTAATAACCAATCTGTTTTAATATTTTTTAACCTAAAGTTTTAATCAGTTTTTTGTCATTATATC